AATTCTGGAAACAATCCAATGACCATTCCAAATAAAGTGTAATAAAAAATGGTGGTATATCCACATGGCAGATAGCACGGCTGCCTACAGCAGCAAGTGTGCATCTTCTAAACACCATGCTGAAAGAGAGAGGCAGGATTAGGGAATTTCAAAGAATGAAGTTCCAAACAAGCAAACTAAACACCATTGTCTAGGGAAACATACTTCAGTGTTAACACAGAAAGAGAAAAGCAAGAAAGTGAGTCCCACAGTCAGAGTAGTAGTTGCTGGTGTCGGGGGTATTAGGTGTATGGGATGAGGAGGTGGAACTAAGGGTTGTGATTAGGTGAGTACCTGAGAGAGGCTTCTGCAGCACTAGCAGGATTCTGATTCTTTGCTTGGTGGTGTTTCATGTGAGTCGTTATAAAAATGTGTTAAGTGGTACAGGGATATTTTATGTACCCCAGTCGATACAGTATATTTCACGATAAAATAAAAGCTGGGGAAAAGAAAGAGAGAAGGAAGGAAGGAGGAGAGGAGAGAGAATGATCTTCAAACATTGCCGTATATCTGAGGAATTAGATATCGGAACTAACCATAACAATTCCTGGAACTATAAACATGAGTCAAGGGATGAGAAAAAGTGCTGGACATGGGAAGGTGGCTAGAGTGCAGGAAAGAACTCAGTGTTGTCAGATGAGGGGCGCATGCACATGCTGAGAGCATTGTTTTGTGTTTTGTGGCTTCTGGAGGAAGCTGCCAGGGTCTGGCCTCACTCAGTGGACCTCACCAACCCATCATCCATGAGACCTTTTGAGGAAATTTCCAGGGCTTTCTCAGTGTTTTTCCATTTCTGGCTTAGAAACAGGGAGTAAAGGAAGAGAAAAGACACATAGCTGGTGTGTGTGTGTGTGTGTGTGTGTGTGTGTGTGTGTGTGTGTGCGCGCGCGCGCATGCGTGCATATGAAGAGAGAGGGGCTAGGCTGTGGACAGCTGGTGGCATCACCATCCATCCAGAACAGGGGGCACATTCTCGACTGCTCCCTCTCCCGCTCCCTCACCAGACCTCTCCTCAATCACCCAGCTCTCCTACCTGAGATCTTTAACATTTCTTGAAACTATGCCCCTATACCCTCTCCCCAACCACTGCCAGGTCAGGCCAGGATGACTGTAACAACCTCACTGCTCTCTGTATTGATCTTACCCTCTCATCCACCCCTGCACTGAAGCCCTACAGGTGTTTTCTAAAATGCTCTCTTGTCATATCATGTCAGTTTATACACCTTCAAAGACCCCATAGCCCAAAGATCAAAACCGAACGCCCTAGGAAGGGCCTGTGCAGCCCACCTCCAGCTTGCTTCTCCCTCTCCTTCCCGCCCAGCCTGCCTCCATCTCCAAATCCAAGGCCCAGTATTAACCAGCTCTCCAGCTCTTGACACCTGCCTGCAGTTTCCTGGTTGTATGGTGAGGCACATGCCGTGTCCTCTACTGAGAGCCCCTATTCCTCCTGATGTGGCCTTGAATTCCTGCTCATCCTTCCCCTCTGAAAGCTACTCAGACCCTCCAGACAAAGTTCCTCTCCTCCTCCTGATGCTGTCTATTACTCCACTGTTACTTGTCACACTTGACTGAAATTAGGTGTGGGCATGTCTTCCTGCCATCTCTGTAACCTAGCAAACCTAGCAGCTATTGTAATATAAAGTCGTCTATATAGGAGGGAATTGGGGGAAATGTTGGTTGAATTGAGCTGAATTTAACTGCACTTTGGAACTTTGATTTTCTATATTGTATGATTCTTTGTCTGGAATCCTTCCAATATGTCCTCCCTCACTTCCATGCCAGGCTGGCCCCTCTCCCTGGATAGCTTTGCCCAACCTCACTTCAGTTGACCTAGCACATCCTTCAAGACTCAGATAAGGAGCCACCTCCTCCAGGCAGCTTCTCCTGATGCCTCCTACTAAGCTCAGACTCAGCCTGTGCCCGTCTTGTCCCACTAGAAACACCTCATCTTCCATTTCTATGTCTGGCATCCAGCGAAACGTCTGCCATAGGATGGATGTTCAGGAAATAGCAGCTGGATGAATGGCCGTCTACCGGGTTAATATGTTGAAAAAAATCCACCTCCAAGTTTTTCTCAAGTGAACACTAACCTATCTTTAAGAAGGAAATAAAGTAACCATATCAAATATGTAGATGTGTATTAAGATATAAAGTACAATATAAAACTGTAGACATGTATTTGTATAGCTATAAACACATGCATTGAAACATTCCTAGTTTTCAGTAATACTATAAGACTAGGAACTTTTTAAGAAAAATATTATATATGACCTTATGCCTAGAATAAATGCTATACAGTCTAAAGTCAGCAGTTACTTACTGCTTAGCTGCTTCCCAACTGGGCAAGTCCTGTAGCCCTCAGAGGGGGGCAGGCAGTCATTGTCACATCAGAGCCCCAGTGATGCGTGCCTGCAGGCTCACCCCAACACTGCTGGTGGTAACCCTGTGCCCTTTCAGTCCTGACTCACAGGATGGAGAGGGCCAAGAAGGAGCTCCCTATAAGAGACTTTAAGGAAAGGAGGGAGCACCTGAAAGGTTTGAAAGAGTGCATCTTCCATCTTTGACTTCACTGATAGGGTGGTGCTGTTGATGACTCACAAGCGATTGTTACCTTAGGTTCCTTCAGCCCATTGGTTCCAGGAGCATGGTTCCAGGAAGTCGTGTTCTGCTGGGGGCTTTGCATGGGATAAATCACTTCTCTTGCTGCTTTCCAGATTCTTTGGCTTTGGCTTTTGATAGTTTGACTATGATGTGTCTTGGTCTTGGGGTTTATTCTACTTGGAGATTGTTGAGCTTCTTGTATATGCAGATTTGATGCAGTTTTTCATCAGATTTCAGAAGTTTTTGGCCATTATGTCTTTAAATATTCTTTCTTCAATTTTCTCTGTCTCCCCTCTTTCTAGGACTCATATAATGTGCATACTAGTAGCGTGAGGGTGTCCCCCAGGTCTCTAAAGTTGTATTCATTTTTCTTCATTCTTTTTCTTTCTGTTGCTTAGATAATCTCAACCTATTTCCAAATTCATGGATTTTTTTTTTTTCTGTCAGTTCAAATCTGCTGTTGAACCCCTCTTTGGTTTTTCATTTTCAACTCCAGAATTTTTGTTATGTAGTAAAATTTTTAAATAAATAAACGAACATAGCCATCATCTCATATAGTTACCCTTTTTTGTGCATTGTAGCAAAAGCACCCAAAATCTACTCTCTTAGCAAAAATCCTTAATACAAGGTTATTAACTCTAGTCCTCAGGCTGTACCTTAGATCTCTAAATTATTTATTCCTGTATCTGCAGCTTTATACCCTTTTACCTCCGTCTTCCTGCCCACTCCTCACACCTAGCAACCACCATTTTATTCTGTGTCTATGTACTTGACTTTTCTCTCTTTCTTTTTCCTTTTTTTTTAGATTCCACATATAAGTAAGATTGTGTAGCATTTTTCTTTCTGTGTCTGGCTTATTTCACTTAACATAATGTTCTCCAGGTTTATTTATCTTGTGGCAAATGGCAGTATTCTCTTCTTATGACCAAATAATATTCCACTTTATATATGTACCACAATTTCTTTATCCATTCATCCATCAATGGACCCCTAATCCATCCAGAATTTCTCCAGAAATTTTCATTGTGTCTCCAGAATTTCTATTTGGTTATATATAGAAAAGTATATATATACTTCCCTCTCTGTCTTTGTTTATACACACACATACACACACACACACTTTTCTATATGTATACTTTTCCATATACTTTTCTATATATATATATAAAGTATATATATATATATATGAAGTCTGTGTATATATATACACATACTTTTCTATATATATACACATGCTTTTCTATATCTGTTTGGTAAGACATAGTTTTTAATTTTTTCCTTTAATGCTTTTTTTTTCTTTTGAGACATTGTCTCTGTCACCCAGGTTGGAGTGCAATGGCATGATCTTGGTTAACTGCATGCAGCCTCAACCTCCTGGGCTCAAGTGATCTTCCCACTCCAGCCTCTCAAGTTGCTGGGACTACAGGCGTCTGCCACCACACATAGCTAATTTTTTGTATTTGTTATAGAGATGGGGTTTCTCCATGTTGCCCAGGCTGGTCTCTAACTTCTGGGCTGAAGTGCTTTACCCATTCACCCTCCCAAAGTGCTGGGATTATAGGTGTGAGCCACCACACCTGGCCTGGTTTGCCTTTCATTCTTTAGGATTGGTTTCTTTTTGTTCTTTAACTTCATTTGTAATAGTTGACTAAAAATCTTGGTTTAATCGTCCAATGTCTGCAATTCCTTAGGGACAGTTTATAACCAAAAAAAGAATTACTCAGAGAAAAACAGTTTCAAGCCAGGCCTGGTGGCTCATGCCTGTAATCCCAGCACTTTGGGAGGCTGAGGTGGGAAGATGGCTTGAGTGTAGGAGTTTGAGACCACCCTGCACAACATAAGAAGACCCTGTCTGTTCAAAACTAAAATGAATTAGTCAGTTAGGCTGGCACATGCCTGTAGTCCCAGCTACTTGGAAGGCTGAGAAGGAAGGGATCATTTGAGTGCGGGAGGTTGAGGCTGCAGTGAGCTATGATTGTGCCACTGCACTCCAGCCTGGGCGACAGAGTGAGACCCTGCATAAAAAAAAAAAAAAAAAAAAAATAGAATAACAGTTTCTATTGGCTGCTTTTCCCCTTACTCTGATTGCAATAAAGGGTTTACTGTTTCTTTGTATGCCTCAAAAATTTTTGTTGAAGTTGGACACTTAATATAGTAACTAAAAATAAGAGTCCCACTCCCAAGTTTTGTTGTGGACGTTTATTGTTGTTGCTGTTGCTATTTGTTTGTTTGCTAACTTTCTTGGACAAATTCTATGAAGCTTATATTTTTTTGTCATGTGTGGGCACTAAAGTCTGCTTATTATCTTAATGATCAGGTAATGATTGGACAGAGATCTCCATGAACCGATGTCTCCTTTCCTTTGCCGAGGGTGTGTGTGTGTGTGTGTGTGTGTGTGTGTGTTTGGTGGGGGGTGGGGAGGTGAGTGTTGGGCATGCTTTTAATGATCATGCAGGCAGTTTATGATTCTGCCTTAATCTTCATGTCCTTCTTGTGAGAGCCTCAAAGTCAGCCTGAGGTGAGAGATTATGGCCTTCTCAGGTCTTTCTCAGCCTTGTGCACAGTCACACGCACGTGACCCAAATTCTCAGGAATATATCAAAACTCTTCAAAGTCTCCATTTTATTCTCCAGTTTTTCTTTTTCAGTTACTGGTCAAGCCTCTGGTCAACCCCAGCTGGTAATGGCAAATCAAGCACCTATGATGTTAGATAATTACCACTATTTTTTTTTTTTACAAGTACCCTGAGGATAGGGTTATTTGCAGAGTAAGCTCTGAGTCAAGTCAAATAAAGACAAGTTCTATGAAGGAAGCTTTTCAGTGAACTGCCAAGCACGTCAAATAGTAATTCTTTGAGGATGGAAAGAATCCATCCTAACTCTTACTCAGTCATTCTGGAAATCTCAATTATTAATTTTTAAAAACCATTCTTCTTTTCTAATATATATGCTTAAGACTATCAGTTTCTGAGACAGCTGAGTAAAAACGGATCCTGGGAGAACCTCCCACCTGCCACTCGGTGGACAGGGCAGGATCTCAGGAAGTTCACACTGTTTGCAGAGGGGAAGGATCCTGGCCTCTTATGTTTCTGCGTAGCAACCTAGGATTCAATCTGTGAGATGGGGGCCTGTTAGCAGGAACCCCTTTCACTTTGCTGAGTTTTTCCCCCCTTTACACCTAATAATAAATTTTGTTTTTCTTACCCTTCTAGGTGTCCACAAGCCTAATCTTTCCTGGTTGTGTGACAAGAACCTGGTTTATAGCTAAGCTGAGGAGAAAGTCCTACAACATTTCCACCTAAGTACACTTACCTGCATCTCACAGGTTTTGATATGTCACCTTTGAATTACCATTCAGTTAAAATGTTTTTCTGATACCATTGGAATTACTTCTTTGATCCATTGGCTATTTACAAGTATATTTCTTAATTTCCAAATATATGGGGATTTTCCAATTACCTTTTTGTTACTGATTTCCAGCTCAATTTCATTATGATTTGCACAGAGAATATGGTTTGTATACTCTAATTTCAATCATTTCAATTTGCTAATACTTGCCTTATGCCCCTGTATACATTCAATTGTGGAAAATGTTCCATGTCCACTTGAAAATAATTGGTATTCTTCAGTTGCTTGATGCAGTGTTCCCTCTCTATGTATGTCTGAACTAGGTTGAGTCTTTACCTACGTCGTTCAAACCTTCTATAGTCCATTTCACTATTCTTTCTTCAGCTGTGTCTAATATACTGTTTTGATTCAGTCTTTGATTTTGTTTATTAAATATTATTCCAATCTAGGATATTCACTTGGTTCTCAGTTTTTCTGGTACTAAATTTATCCATCTTGATTTTTAATTCCATGCATTAATTGTAGTTATGTTAAAGTCTATGTCTTGTTATTATTCAAGATCTAGATCTTCTGTGAATATGTTTCTATTGTCTGTTTTCCCTCTTGATTTTCTGTCAAAACTTACTTTCTTATATGGCTTATTATTTTGATAGAGTGCCAATATTCTGAGGCTCTTCAGCATGTTATCTTCTTCCAGATGTATTTATTTTTTATTCTGGTAGGCAGTGAGGCTAGAAATCAATTACTTTAATCCAGTGTGGAATTGAGATAATTCTAAACTGGGCTTCACTTCTTGTGAGATAGGCTTCTTCAGTTGATCCTTTCTTCAAACAAAAGCTTGTGGTATTTTTCAGAACCTGTCCTCCCTGATAGATCTTTAGGTGCAATTTTAACCCTTAGACCTCTTTTACCTTGCTAAAATTTCTGTTCAAATTTCTCAGCCTTTCATTCACTGCTTTCAATTTGAAATCAAATGCTTTGAGGGAAAAGAATCTTCAAATGCCATACTCACCTCCACTGTCTTTATTGCTTGTTCAGGTCTCGGTCTCAAAATTTTTCTCCCTGCCTAGGTATCTGTGAGATGTCCAGTTCCTCAAGTTGTTCCAAATACGATATTTTGCCCCAAACAACCTAGTCAGCCTTTACCTAGTGCAACACTCATATGGGGGGTTATAACCAAGAGAGTCATATAATAGAACTTTAGAATGTTGACCTGACCAAAAGGCCCAAACTAGCAGTAAATAAATCAATAATAATAATTAAAATAGCTAGCATGTGTTGATCATTTCCTATGCTCTCCATCACTGTCCTAAGTACTTTTGCATATATAGCCCATTTAATCTTAAAAATAAATTAACACATTAAGTATTAATACCATTTCCATTTTACATATGAGGAAGGAAGTACATAGAAAATTTCAGAAACTTGCCTAAAGCTACACAGAAGTAGAGCTTAGATTTGAACTAAGACAGTTTTGCTCAGAGACCATACCACTTTAAAATAGAATGTAACTATAATAATGTAGGCATCAATAGCCCAAGTCACAATGAGCATTATAGCTGGGGAGTCAGAGAAGAACAGCCAGCTACAAGAAATATTTTGAAGAAAGACTCAAAAGGTGATCAAATTG